TTTTTTTTGTTAAGAAAATATGAATGGAGTATAAACCATATTCTTAATAGCTAGGTGATAGCTTATGTGAAATTCGAGCTTATGGCTGAAAAACTAGTTGATATAATAAAAGTACTTTATAAAATCAGTTGATAAGTCATCCAAAACAAAAATTTCAGCAAACTTGTTTCAAAAACTACCTAAGAAAACTTATGATGATCAAATAAGCTCAAGCTTTTTTTAAAGAAAAAAAAATTATCATACTAAATCAAGCTTATTTTCATGATGGAACTTACCAAACACACACCACCGGCCAATTAGTGTTTTTTTTTTTTTTTTTTTCGGTACAAGGCCAATTAGTGTGTTTAATTTCATACTGTAATTATTTAAGTTTGGAAATGGATTTGTTACGTGAAATTCCACTTGTCAGAAGCTTAAATGAAAGAAAAAGAGAAGAAAAAAAAAAGTATCTGTAAGCACAGATAAATGCATTTATGAGATGGTGTACTTTGCATTGGTCCAATATTTATTCATGTGACTGTAATTCATCATCCTCTGCTACTATTTTTTTTAACCATTTAAAAGTGGGGAGATGTTACAGTCCCATTGCATGAGAACCATTCTGTCGGGTTTGCAACCGTTAGATTAATTATCTCCGACAGTTACATGATGATCTAACGGTTACAAACCCGACGGAATGGTCCGTAACGAGACCGTAACATTTCCTTTAAAAGCGGCCTCTGCTAGTTTTATTATTAGGCGAGTCGAACTCCCGTGTTTAACAAAAAATGCATTCTTATACTATAAAATGAATGTTTTTGCTTGATTATGTTATTTTGGATATGACAATATAGTTTAAAAGTATGCACATTTATTACACAAATATTAAAGTCCGACTGAACTAAAATGAAATATTTGTAGTTTAGATCAGTAACACTACAAGAATACACTTCAATTCCAACGAAAAATTTCAACAGCAAAAATTTCCGTTAGAAATTCCAATTAATATTCCAACAAACTTAATTTTATGTTGAAATAAGTGTTGGATGGTTGAGGAATTCCAACGGATTTTTTTCGTTGGAATAGTTGTAGGAATTTATTTCCATAGGATTTTTCGTTGGATTTTAGTTATTCCAACGGCCGCTTTTCCCACGAATTTTTATACGTAGGAATATTCGTTGGAATAGTTATTCCAACGAAAAATATAAAGAATTCTAACGGAAATTCTCCGTTGGAATGTAAGAGTTTGTTTTTAGTGTAATTTGGTTTTAATTAATTCCGTTTCTCCCTAATTATCTGTTGTCAGAATGAAACCAGATTTTGTTCCATTTTATATACAGCTAATTAGAGGTCTTAATCATATAAATGCACATCTTAAGGACAAATCAGATTAAGAGTATATCATTCAATAGTTAATCACAATGCATCAAAAAAACATTATCAACAACTTGAGTGAAAAATAAAAAAATAAAATATATAGTGACCTGCTCTAGAAGAAATGGGAAAAATCAAAATAAATAGTAAAACTCTCAATAATTGATAGTATATTAGCATCCATACAAGTCACTCGAATAGGCGGCTGTTAGGCAAATCTGATGTAGACGTGGCCATTTCCCGATTCCGGGCCAGTTTTGGGTTGGAACCGTCGGTTTTGCGTCGGAATCGCCGGCCTGATAATATATTGGGGTCGGTTCAATGAACCGGCAGCTCCGAGTCGGTTCATAAACCGCCAAATTCGGGCCGAATAGGTTTATAAAAAATAGTGAATATTTTTTCTTACAAAAAAGGTTGAACCGCCGGTTCAACTTCTCTAAATGGTTGAACCTAAATTGGCTCGGGTAAAACCACGGAGCCGTTCAAGGCCCATTAACCACGGGCTTGACCTGGCTGGTTCCGTCTGTGGCCATAACTAGTCTAATAGTTAGAGAATCATATAGTATTCGATATTCTAACAAAGACTTTATTAGTAATTCAAATAATGAGTAAAAAAACAAGAGATATATTGCTAAAATTCTATAATAGGAATTTATAAAACTATATCCTTTTTTATGTGGGAGTGGGAGTATATATCTTCTTCTATTTTAAGAAGGGACGTGGAGGTGAGGTTTGTTTTTGTTCATATGGTTATAACACCGATGCAAAAGGATAATATTAATGAGGAACCTATAAATATTTATTTAAAATAAACACTCGATCCCCCGTTTATAAATAAAACTAGTACGTGCCCCGTGCGATATACGGAATATAGATATTAAATGACTTATTTTCACAGTTTTTTTCGTTTAAATCTAAAAAGTAATAGATTATTAACTATTTTCTATCTCTTTTAATCAATGTTAAGTTTAAAAAACAATAGAATTATAAGTTTTTTTTCCACATCTTTTAACCAGCACTGTTTTTTTAGTCAGAGCATTAAATATGAGCATGTTAGTGCTAGCTTGTAAAATAAATTTATACTAATAAAAAATTAATGTTAGCATTTAAATTTATCAATTGATATAAGAGAACGTAACAATTTTACTTATTCTTGTTCACTATATAATATTTAATTATTATTGTATTATATAATAAAAATGAATACTGATAAATAGTGTAGTAGAATTGATGAAAAATTATATAAATTATTTTTTTTACAATTTGGATTTAATATCTTTTTATAATGTGATAATATAACTATAATATATAACATGCATTAAATACCACTTTCAATATATTTATAAATAAAAAGTACATAAAATTTCTGGTGTGTTCAAATTTAAATAATTTTTTATCGGCTCAATTTTAAATCATCCAGACATTTGGTCAAACGCATAAGTGTGTTCAAATTTATAACATTAGCATTTTTTTTCGGTTGAAATTTAAAAATCATCTACCATGGTACTGTGATGTGTATATATATACAATTTTTTACAAATAATATGTGCTTTATAAAAATAATAACAATAATTTCACAAGATTTTAAACGTAAAATTTTGGTTTTAATCACAATAGAAAAATCATGGTAAGTTGTATTGAAAATGTGTTATGGGATAAACAATTAAATAAAATAATTAAATAAAATACTTGATGGAAATATAATGCATTAATTACCTTTGACTTTTCTTACCACTAATTTTAGTAAATAGGATGACTTTTTTTTTTATCGTTAAATAAATTTGTATTGATCAAAATTAAAAGTCATACAACTGAATCGACTTTCAAGAGCGTAGTGGGTAACCACAAGTCGGTTCCTCACTCGCAAGAACAAAAATAACGAGGACAATGTTTTCCTCCAACCAAGATTTTCCAAGTGCTCAAGCACTTGACATCAACCATCCTAAAAAATAGGATGACTTTTTATATAAGTATAGATATGGTTTTAGGAAAAAGAAAATAGGAGAATTAATAATTTATATTTTGTCTAACATTACATTATTGTTGTCAAAGTCTTATTAATCATATTTTAATGTATTACTCTTCTAATATTATTCACCTTCTTTCATACTCTAATTATTTTCTACGTTTATTATATACTTCGATTATATATTATTTTTTTTTATATATCAAACGACGCAATGCACATTAGGTCGCTACGGAAACAACCTTCTTGTATAATTACAAGGATAAGGTCTGCGTACAATTGACCCCCCAGACCCCAACCTGTTGGGAATATATTGGGTATGTTGGTGTTGTTGTTGTATATTCTTTTCATTTTTATAAGATTTCTTATATCATAAAATCAGTACTATGAAGATTAGGGCTGATAACGAACAGAACGTTTGAACAAAAATTCTTTCAAACTCGTTTGTGTTC